CCATCCCCCATTAATTCTTCTTCAATAACCCCGCTTAGAGCTAGACTACCTATGGCCGTGTACAAGTTCTTCACAATACCATCTATATTATTTAAATCCTCTTGGCTGATCTTTGAAAAAGATATCTCGTGTTGCGCCTCCTTTCGTGCCTCGTCAAGATTTTGAAGGTTACCCTGTAGTTCTTGGTATAAATCGGATATTGTGTTTCTGTTATAAGCGTTACGAAGAAAAAAGTGAGTCTCCTGCTCAAGCAGATGCCTAAAACTTTCGAGTGTCTCCTGGAGATAGGGAATATAATTGGTGGTAGCATTCTCGGGAAATAACAATAGGTTGCACAGAATAGAAGAGGCAGGACCGATTAGCATCGGTATGAGGATGTTTTTCTTTGGAAAAAGAATTATTATAAATGGTTAACACATGGTGACACCTCATGACAACAAGAAGACGATTGATGACACACCAAAATTTGCCATTCCGAGTGTGGATTGATATAGGATTGCGTTAAACTGAAGCTCATAATAATCATAGCGTTAATGGCACCGAAACGCATGGGAGGCCACTTGATCTTATCGTAAGACAGGACGAAAGTTCCAACGGCAAAGAATACTAAGTTCGTTATCATAGCAGGAATATTATATATCTCGTCACCACGTATTAAATTGGATATTATGATCCCGAGCAAGGACCATGCTGTTGCCATGGAGGCTCCAACGATTCCCCAACCAGCGCTCTGTAATGTCAAAGATGAAGGAAAAAAAAAAAAACCAAAAAAAAGAAGCATCCATTAGCTCCAATCGGGTAGTCATTTAATCAAAAAACTTAAAAAGGGGAGAAGTTATGTGTGACTGTTCTTACTTCAAGCAACGAACCAAGGGTTCTTGAAGGTTGGTAGTAGCAAACCATCACGATGGCCAAGAACGTTCCACCACCAATATCTCGCATCACAGGTATAACAAGGTCAACGACAAAGGCAAGCCAATAGGCAAAAGCGGCCTTGAGAACTTTCTGTGCCATAGGCCATGTTGCTTTTGACTTAAGCTCCAAGAGGAAAGGCCTAAACAGTGTACACCAAATATCCGAAGTCTTAGTGGAGACTTGCGGCTCGGGAGCCGTGATGGGTGGCTTCTCGACGATATCGTCTTCGTGAACAGATTGCTTATCGTCTTGATTAAATATTTTCGATAAGTCTGGATAGTTGGAATTGCGTCTACCGCCTTGTTTATTGAGCTCGGTATCTTGACGGGAGGTGTGTCCATTGGCGGCTCGGAAGAGGGAATCGCTGGTCAAAGTTAATTCGTGGTCATGCTCTTCAACTTCAGTTGAAGGCTGCGATTCTGAGGGCATGTGGCTCCCAAACTTATCCGCCATGATAAGAAGGAAAATTCAACGGAGCAAAAAGTGTGTGGAGGGACGTAATATAATGGTACCATTATATATTATTATTTTTTTCTTTTTAATCGCCAGCTCAGCCTTTACTTTATTAGATATAGTTTTTAAATGTAGATATAGTACATGTTAAAAAATATAATTATAAACCTGTAAAGCTAACGATATGACTATACTGGTCATCCTCGGGCGTGTTGCTGTCTCTAAAGTGAGAACTAGCAAAAGACCACTAATGCTAAAAAATTTTGAGAGGGAGGAAGGAGGGAGGTCGGAGAATAAATGAGTGGATGGGATGGTTAATCTATATATACAATTCCTTGCTATGCGATTTATACAGGAGGAAGAAAATTTTGTTCAGGGTATTCATTAAAACTTCTCATATATGAAAGTGGAAAAAAAACGAAGTATAAAAACATTACTGGCTACGCCATTTTCTTAAATGCACCCACCAGTTACATCTGATCACTTTTTCGGAACATCGTGTGGTTTATCTATGCACTTAGATAATCTCGTACGCAGTCAATTGTCATTTTGAACTTTTTGCAAAAAAAGTAAATGAAGCACCTCTTTTTGCTGCATACCTAAGATGTGTGGTTCAAGCTATCTACAAAGATCAGAGCAACGATAAAGAATCGACCAAAAAATTCGAATACGAACTCGATTCCTCTCGAGTAAAAGAGACGACGAAAACTTTGATTGACACCCTTGTTCTACTTCAAAAGGACATCTTACATCGCAATTACGCGAAGATAACGATAACGAAGAAGTCAAGACAGATAACAAAGAAATCGATAACCCTTCAGATACAGATAACATGCAGAACTTTGTTTGGAAATAAAAATAATTATTATTATTTGATAAAGTATTCTTTTTCTCTGACTGTTCGACTCGTTAGATATTCGAGATATGACATCATTTACTATTTTTTAAGCAAATGATTGACGCGAAGTTTTTCGCTCAACCTCGAGACGCAACGTAACTGTGCAACAAAAAAAAAGAAATCCATTTACACATGCGACTATGTGACTCTAAAAGTCAGATGCCAATTTAAATCCATGGATAAGATGATGGCTTTTGATTTTGGCTCTTGGCAAAAAAAAAAAAAACTTTATTCGTTTGGATGTGCGCAATTAGCCATTGAACCACATGCCAAATGGATTTATGTATACCGCATGTATCGAATATCGATATACGCACGTTGCTTTACGTATATATGATACAATACACACTAACGCTGGTTTGATTTTTTTGCTACCTTCGATGATGTTCTTTGAAGGCCAGTCTACAATCAGTTAACATTTTGACTGGTCAACCACATTTAATTTGTCCATGTTAAGTATCATTTATTTGTTTACACCACATTTACAAAAACTTCTTTTATTGAGTGCATTGTTGCAATTAAATATTGCTATTATCTTTATTATAAAACGTAGTTTTCAATACAGTGTATTGTCCATCAACATAATACTGTAAATATAACTTTATCAGAAAATCAGTCAACCTGATATCGATACTGATTACAGTAAGTTAATAAATTTGCACGCACCAAATCGCATTCCCCTTGGGACCGACTATGAGCATGCATCTAAAGAGGGCGTGTGCAATCATTCATAGAGAATATCAGCTGAATCCGGTCAGTATCAACCGGAATTAATTAATTAATTCCTACCCGAATCAAGTAACGCCAGCCAAGATTAAATTATCTAGTACTGGGCAAAATTATTAATGCTGGTCACATGAATATAGAAAATTCGTTCTTGCGCGTTCGGTGTGAATTTAAGTGGTACCACGCAACTTGGAACTTCATTTAAGCAATACTGCCCAACTAGGAACTTCATTAAGTTCCATACCGTGCGGTTCAAAGTATCCCATGATGTGTCAAATTGAATAAGAAAAAAAAAAAGTTTTTTAATTTCACTTCACTTTTGACCGTATGCATTTAGAGGATGTGCATGAATTGAAGATGTACTTAAAGAATGTTTACTACATTTTAAAATAAATAATTAATAAAAACTTCATTAATAAACAAATATTTACTTATTATTTTTATTAAACAATTTAAAAATTATAGAACTTTTTATGCAATTTTTATGTAATTATACAGTTTATCGATTCTTATGCAAGTAATAAATTTTTTATGCAGTTTATTTAATTTTCATATAATTTATAAGTATTTATACAATTTATAAAATTTTGAGTAATATATTAATTTTTAATGCAATTTATTATATAAGTGATTGAAAATTTACTTTATTAGATATTTGTTAACCATATATATATATTGTCTTTTACTAAAATTTTTATTTTAATTAAGATATTTAGTGATATTAATTAAGTTTAAATTAGAAATAATTTTTTATTTTATCAGTAATTCAGATTAATATCTATTTAATTAAAAATATTATAGTCAATAATTTATTGTTGTTAAAAATTTATATTACAAAATTAAATAAAAAAAAAATTTTTTTTTAACTATAATTATACTATTATAATATATCTTTATTATATATTAAATAAATATCTAATAAATTATAAACTTTTATATGATGATAAATCCATTTTTTTTTAAACCCTCTGTCAGGTTAGATATATATGCTTTATTAAACATATGTATACTTTATATTAAAAATATATCACTAAAGCTAAGTCTCTACTTAACTTACTCATCTTTATTTTAAGAATTATTTAAAACTCTAAATGCAACTTCAGAAGTAATTTATCACTCCATTAGCAATTCAGATAAAGACTTTTCCAACTGTTAACTTCATTGTCTACAGGTCACTACTGCATATACAGTATATGATGATAAACTCTTTTTACATATTATTAATTAAAAAATTACATTATAAAAAGTTTATTAAACTAGTTTAAACTAAACAAAACTAAGTTTCAATTAAATATTATAAATCAAATTTAAAAAACAATATTATATTTATTTAATAATTTAATACTTAATCATTAATTATTAAAATTATTATCAATAGTTTATCTTTATTAATTGTTTAAAAAAATAGTAAATATTAATTAATTGAAAAGAGAAAAAAAAATAAATTCAATATTTTTTAAAAGATTTTTAATATATTTAAAAATACTCTTTTAAAAAATTTTTATCTATTTAAAATATTTTTTAACTTTATAATATTTAAAAAACTTATTAATAAACTTTAAAAAATATATATTGATTAAAATTATATAATTCAATAGTCAAATTATTATTAAATTTAATTAAATTTATTAATAATAATATAATACTAGTTGAAAAAAAATTATTCAACATACTGTCACTCACATAATATTCAGCAAAAAACAAACAATTTAACAAAAAATAACATAAATAAATCAACAACTATATAATTTAATTATGAATATTACAAAATCAATATATTAATAATTCATCAAATAATTTATTAACAATTTAGTAAAAATTTATTAAAAGTTTGTCACAAAATTATTTATTAACAATTCAATAAAAATTTGATATTAATTTATTAATAATTTATCAAAAATTCATTAAAAATTTAGCAACTATTTATCAAAACTATTTATTAAAAATTCATTAACAATTTGTTAAAAATTTAGCAACTATTCATTAAATTATTCATTAAAAGTTCATTAACTAATAATTAAAAATTTGACAACTATTTATCTATTATTTAACAAAAATTTATAAAACATATGAAAAAAATCATTTATATTTATAAATTATTTGATATTATTTATATAATAATACATAATTAATTTTTTTTTATTTTTAAGCCCACAGTCAAACCAGTATAGTGTGTTTATTAATCTTTAAGAAAACTGATAGAGATATATTGACAATTATATTATGGCTAAACTAAATCTCATATTGATTCACTTATCAATAGCTTTCAATTCTCAAATAAGCTTAAGCCTCTAAGTGTGATCTTGGAAATAATATTTTGCTCTAGAATAAGTTTTAAGTAAAGATCTTCTTAACTTACCCATCATTGCCAGCAGGTTGTCACTACCTATTATTCTCCAAGGAACTGATTTTGAGAAACCACAATAAAAGAAAAAATAAAAAGAAGGGGAATATTTAAAAATACACAAATGTACTATATGAAGAGAAAATGAAAAAAGAAAATAAAAGTGCTCCATATTCTTTAAAGAATCTCTGCTAGAAACCTCCTCTTATTAGAAACCAATTCTTCTAGGATACTCTTCTTCTTCCTGATAATCTAAGAAACTTATCCATTCGTGATCTTGATTATTTTCTTGTAACCATTTAAGGTACTTATCATCTACTTAGATCTAAAGTCTTGTTCATGGCTTTTTTTCTTTTGATATTGATTTTGTATCCATCTATATTAACTAATAGTTTATAATAGATCCCAGGTTCTTATATGACCTTTCAGTCTTATTGTATAACTATCAATATTTTCCAACAGTCACATCTAGTTAAAAAAATTTTACTGATAAGCATCTTTCATTGCCCAAAAAGTTAGATTCCTCAACAATCTTTTTGTATTACAATGGTAGGAGGGCTTCACAGAGTATGGAAATCCTTATCAATTATGATATCATTACACAATGTCTGGGAAAATATATTCTCAATCCTAAAGAAGAGTAGTGACTCACATTCTTCTGCTTTTTGATCTTATTGCCTGACTGGGATAAGAAAATAATCGCCTTCATGTATTTTATCTAACTGGAATAATAAGAAGTTGAAAACCTCAGCTTGAACAAATAACCGACTTTTCATTATCTAGAGAATTTAGTGCCCATCCTAATGGTCTCATAATTTCTTTGCTTCAGTTACACTTCATTTAAAGGAGTGGAGGATTTGTGTCAATAAATTCTCTTTTTTTTATCAATGACATTATCAAAACATATAAAGTGATCAGTAGATACTTGTTTATATTCAGTTACTAATGTGTTTCATATTTACCAAGCATATTTTGTCATAGATTGTTTACCTAAAATTCAAGGTAAACTAAAGTAGGCAAACTTCTTCAGAA